AGCAGGTGTAATAAATATGTCAATAACAATATATCTTATGCACAGTCAATGTTTGTTGAAAACAAGCTTCTACATAAAAATTGCATTATGTGGATTGTCTCCTGGGCAAAAATTAAAACTTTACAGAAGGGAATCAAAACCCAAACCTAAGATTTATGGGTCTATGAACAAATCCCCTGTCTCAAAAGCAGAACATTTCAGAACCAAAATTTATTAATTATTAATTGTGTTCTCTTTTTTTTTGTCAGAGAAGGCCTAGTTTTAAATAAGACACAAGGAAGGATTTCACAGGTATTTAAACAAAAACAGTATTTTCTCTATACAAAATTAATTATATATGGTCAGACCTCATGATCAGTGTTTTCATTCTGTGGAAATACTATTGTTGCTATATTTATTTACTAAAACATAAATATCTTTTTATTCCTTGATGCTAAGCACACAAACTAAATTATTTATATATCCATTTTAATGTGTATTTTGCATCTGACAAGGCAACTCTCCTTAGGACCCTTTGACTGGCCCACCTGTCATTATCATGGGGTAACAATGTCACCTTTCTAGTGCACAATGAATTACAAGAATTCACAAAGCACACCATCCATCATGCTGGCACTAAGTGGGTTTTCAGACTAGATACGAGATATCACAAGTGCTCTTTAGACGGTTACCAGAAAGCACAAATTGGAAGCTTACACAAAACAGTCCTATGATGAATGGACATGACAGCTCTTCAAAGTAAAAGGGAACTCCTCCTTGCAAATAACCTTGTCAAAAGCAGAAGTTGTGGGTAGCTTTTCTGGCAGTCAAAATAGAATAATTTAAAAACTTGTTAATGGCTCTGCCTCATAGAAATTCATGAACACAGAATGTACTCAGAATCAGAAAGGAGTTATGTTTGAATCAGCAGCAGCATCTACAAAAGATTGATTAGAATTGAGGAATGGTCAGAGATACACAAAAATCAACATTTCCTCACAAGCTACTCTATGTGAGTTTCAGTGTATTAGCAACCCCTTATAACATAGAAATAACATGAAATATCAGGGTCATTTTGGTTTGCATGTCCCTGATGACTAAGGACGTTGATGATTTCTTTAAATGTTTCTCTGCTGTTCGATATTCCTCTATTGAGAATTCTCTGTTTAGCTCTGTACTCAATTTTTAATTGGATTATTTGATTTGCTGCTTTTTAACTTCTTGAGTTCTTAATATATTCTGGATACTAGCCCTTTCTCAGATACAGGGTTGGTGAGGATCCTTTCCCAGTCTGTAGGCTGTCATTTTTTTTTTCTGATGAGAGTGTCCTTTGATTTACATAAGCTTTTCAATTTCATGAGGTCCTGTTTATTGATTGTTGATCTTACAGCCTGTGCTGTTGATGTTCTGTTCAGGAAGTTGTTACACCCATCAGAATGGCTAAGATAAAAAGTGACAATACATGCTGGAGAGGATGTGGAGAAAGAGATACCCTCCTCAATTGTTGTGGGAATGTAAACTTGTACAACCACTTTGGAAATCAATCTTGTGCTTTCTCAGAAAATTAGGAATAATGCTACCTCAAGATGCAGCTATACCACTCTTAGGTATATATCCAAAAGATGCTCAATTATACAACAAGGACAATTGGTTAACCATGTTCATAGCAACTTTATTTGTAATAGCCAGAATCTGGAAACAACCCAGTTGTCCCTCAACTGAGGAATGGATACAGAAATTGTGGTACATTTGCACAATGCAATACTACTCAGCAATTAAAAACATGGAAATCATTAACTTTGCAGGTAAACGGTGGGAACTAGAAAAGATTATCCTGAGTGAGGTATCCCAGAAGCAGAAAGACACATATGGTATGTACTCACTTATAAGTGAATATTAGACATATAATGTAGGATAAATATACAATAATCTCTACACCTAGAGAAGCTAAGCAAGAAGGAGGACCCTGGGTAAGATGATCAATCTTTACTCCGAAGGGCAATATGAGACAGACCTCAAGAGAGGGAGAAAACAGGAAACAGGACAGGAGCCTACCACAGAGGACCTCTGAAAGAGTCTTCCCAGCAGGGTATCAAAGCAGATGCAGAGACTCATAGCCAAGCTTTGGGCAGAGTGCAGGGAATCTTATGAAAGAAGGAGACATAGAAAGACCTAGAGGGGACAGGAGCTCCACAAGAAAAACAACAGAAGCAAAAATCTGGGCACAGAGATCTTTTCTGAGACTGATACTCCAACCAAGGGCCATGCATGGATATAACCTAGAACCCCTGCACAAATGTAGCCCATAGCAGCTCAGTCTCCAAATGAGTTCCCTAGTAATGGTAACAGGGACTATCTCTGACATGAACTCAGTGGCTGGCTCTTTGATATCATCCCCCTGAGCAGGAGCAGCCTTGCCAGGTCACAGAGGAAGACTCTGAAAGACAGTCCTGATAGGCTAGGGTTAGATGGAAGGGGAGGAGGTCCTCCAACATCAGTGGACTGGGGAAGGGGATGGGAGGAGATGAGGGAGGAAGGCAAGGTGGGATTGGGAGGGGACTAGGGTGAGGCTACAGCTGGGATACAAAGTGAATAAATTGTAATATATAAAAAATTATATTAAAAAACAAAAAATACAGTAAATAAACTAATAAATAAATAAAATTTAAAAACAAAAAACATAGCTGTAACATGTATACATATGTTCATATGTACCTCCAATATTCAGCTAGAAAGTTCTTTTTTCTTTGAGTATCCTAGCCATATCGTTTCAGTTTTAAAAATATCAAGTCACAGGCCCATACTTTCTTCATATATTTATTTATATACTGTGTGAAATATATTAGTATTAAGTATTAAAACACCTGTTCTCAATGTCTTCATCTAACTCATCAAAGGACTGTTTTCAAATTAAAGTCTGAAAATAGAAGGAGGTTATAGTTTTGTTTTTTTAAATCTGTAACTATATTCACTCTTTCATCAACCCCTTCAGTTGAATCTAAATATTTAAAAGGAGTATATTTTTACCTCTTATCCTATCTTCAAATTCTTCTTTTTAATAATTAGTTTCTTATTCTTTTAAAAAAACTTCTTTCCTAAAATTGGCAGCTTAAATACATTTAAAATGATGAAATGTTCACAAGTAAACTCCCTAGACTTTGGTGAAATTACACAAATATTTAGGAAAGCTTAGTTTATTATACAATACAAAAAGATATCTAGCACACATTACTAACAAGATTAATATGTCCAAAACTCTGAGATGTCTGGAGTCAAGTATATGGAATTTATTGTCTAACTTTATTCCAATCTGCATAGAGGATCAGATTAAGCGAACATGATTTTCCAATATCCTCATGGTCCAGAATCACTAGTATTTGCCAGAAGAAACTGAAAAACAAGTAGATAGAAATGTGTCCAAGGACTTGCTAAGATTCCTAGTTTTGTTTTGTTGTTCTGCTTGGCGTTTACTTTTCTTTTTTGGTGGGGGTAGGATATGGGAGTGATATGAATACACTTGGGCGAGAAAGAAGAAAGCAGGGTGCTTGTGAGTGTTTGGGTTCAAAGACAAAACAGACAGATGTCTCACATCTCCTTAAGTTTAGGGTTCAGAGATACAGCAAGGGTACTCATTGCTTCCTTTTATTTTCATTGATATAGTTTGCATTTCCATTATTGCCAGAAAACATACATATTACCAAATCAAATTACAAGTTTTATGCTAAAAATATTCCATGCAGTTAACTTTAAGTCAAATCTAATTAGCAGTAAAACTTCAAATTTGTGAAGGTTACTCTGCCACAAGTCAAGGTGAGATACCAAACAGAAGCCTGATGACCCTCTAGGCCATATGCATTCTTACAAACTCCAGCGAAGCCCCTGCCAAATGTACGTTTCAATGTAACAAACAATGGTTATTCTATTGTATTGAATAACCATTGTTTAGGAAAGCTTAGTTTATTATACAATAATATATAATATATATATAATATATAAATATATATAATATATAATAATATAATAATTTTACATTAAAGTTTAAATTGCTTAAATCTTCTATGTTTCACATATAGTTAATTATAAATATTTATATATACTCATAGAAATATATAGAATATAGATATATATATAGATATATATATATAGAAATATATCACAATTACTCAATTAGACAGTTTATTTGTTTTTTTTTAAATTACTAATAATATTGTACTTTAAATTAAGGTAGAACAGCTGCCCTATAAAATAAAATGTGTCATTATATCCAACTTCCATGTTGTCTGCACTCTGCATCATACACTTTTTCCACAGGATTCACATAAATTAGTTATTATTTTAATTCTCATGGTGGTCCTCAAGTGGAAAAGTAGTGATACTCTCTATAGAGCTATGAAGCTCAGCATCTTATCAGAGGTAAAAAAGAGTGGGTAACTGTTAAAATGAGCTTTAAATCATTCACAAGGCCCTAAGAGTTTTACTTTTAACCAGGAGCCAAAAGAACTACCAATCTAGCTAATCCTGAAAGGTGGAGGAATAATCCACACCTGGCTCCCTTTAGTGCATTTTCCATCATGAATGCAGGAGTGTTGCATTTCAAACCCTAAATGTGTGAATAATCACATCAATTTTCCTCTTCATTTCTTATGTGCATAAACAATCTCAAAATGCAATCCTTGACATTTCTATTCTCTGCCTACATATCAACATATTCAAATTTGCCTCTTCAAAACCATAAATGAGTTTCTCTTGAAATATATGGGCTGAGGAAAATGTGAGTAACTGAGTTGCACCTTCAACACCTTTGAATTAAGTTCTTCTAACATGTTTTCACTTTCAAAAGCTGACATGTAAAGATCCAGGCACTTCCCTCCCATCTTCCTTGCTCGCTGGCATTGATACACAGACTATACTTAATGGCTACTTTTGTATGCTGCATGATTCCAGTTAGTTCAATTTAGATGAAAGCTGTTGTTTTCTAATTCCATTTCACTGGAAATGACAGAGACAAATGGTCAAATTACCTGGAGAGTTCCTTTGGCAGAATAGGCTGCATATGAGGAGAGCAGATCTTGGCTGTGGCCTTTTCTGGCTTCTTCCCTGCAAGGTTGGCCATCAGGATAAAAGCATTGGCCAGTGCTGCTCACAGTGATGGTGCTTGGAGAGGGCCCGGGGAAATCCAGCAACACTGAATAGTTCATAAGCTGTGTATCTTCCAGGCCCAATGCAGTCCACTGAGTCTTAATCCTCTTTGAAATTTCCATGTCATCTTCACTTTCATAAAGTTGTACCAAATTTCTGAAAAAAAAAAAAAGCACATTTTAAAAATTAGAGAAAGTCTTTACAATTTGGAGATATGACTGTGCATGTGTGAACAATTATTAATGGATTGTGTGGGATGCCAAAGGATAAACGTGACAAGATCTGATCTTAAAGATTTAAAGAGTGGTAGAGCTGAAGTGCAGGGAGGGGAATCATACTAAACCAAAGCAGGATAAATTTATTTTTTTTTCACATGCTACTTCAAAGAGTGAGGAATGCAATTAGGAATTTTATGACTTCTGATTCTTCTATCAACATTAATAAAAATCAGTGTACAACCAGCTCCCAATCTAGTTATCATATTTATTTAGTTTTCCTTTTTTCTAACTAACTAACTAACTAACTAACTAACTAACTAACTAACTAACTAACTAACTAAC